ATGAGCACACAGTGCGCTATAAACAAACCCAGCTCCTTCACCAAATTCCCATTTCTTCCACCTTCCAACTCCCTTTTCAAAAAAGCATTTGAGGACTTTGTTATCCTGTCTATAGATGGATGGAAGGATGGATCATGTCCTTCCACTTTTCATTGCTCCTCAGTATACCCTCCCTTCTGCCTCTCCCATCCTCTCCTAGATAGCAGAGTGGTTTTTTAAGCCTATAGATCCTACTTCCTTTAACCACATCTTGACAATAATTTGGCACCTGACAGTGTCCTCTAATGACTGCCATCAAGTTCACAACGGAGTCTGCTTTCTTTCACTGAGGACAGTTTAATATCACAAATCCAGACAAGCTTTTTGAACATAGCTTTGACATGTTTCCATGACAACATAAATTACTTAGAAGTCTGTAGGAAGGTTTTAGACCATTAAGACTTAAAAGCACCATCGTTTTCTTTCATAATGCAGTTGAGAAATGTTGAAAATTTTTATTGTGTAGAGGATAGGGAAAAAATTTGATTTCCCAAGGACCTCGATACATAATAAATAAACCTAGGGCTTATGGGAAGAGAAATGAAATTTTTATATGATTGTAATCCATTATTCCAAGTCTCTACTTTTGTCAAGAAGTGATCTGTACCAATTAACACTTGTAGCTATTCTTTTATTGTTCTTTTTTGGGGGGGCTGGCTGGGAGTGGAACTGAAGCTGGGGCTTGGGCTCAGGGACTCCTGCTGGAGCTCTACCACGCAAGCCACAGCCCTTGCTGGAGCAGCTCTATTCTTCACAGCAGTAGAACTGGTTCATTGTGCAATTCTTTCTTTGTTTCTTGTAAATGTCAGCCTTTTTCACATTAGAATTGAAAGAATGGTTTCCACTATTCTTCCACAAGTCTTTCTTTCCAAGGCCAAACCATCTCTCGAGCTGAGTCCCTCATGCCTCCCCTTCTCCCCCTCCTAGGACCTGGCTTGTCAATAACTGGCTCTTTCCCGCTGCAATTGCTCCTCCAGCCATAGGAGGAGGACTTCAGTACATCATCAGCTATCTTCAGAGGTACAGACACTGGCTTCTAGTTAAATAGGGAGAATTGGGGGCAGGGAGGAGAAAGGTATGCAGAGGTATGTCACAGGTACCACCTGGCTGACCTTAGCTCAGTCTTTGTCCCTGGAGTAGTTCTAGAAAAGTTTTCACTTTATTATTGGGACAGAACAGGAACAAAGTGGTCTGAATTGGTGGCTATTTAAGATAAGAAGACAGCTCTTCCTCTCTCTGTTCGTTTCTAGCTCTCTGCTCTTTCCCTTTCTAGCTCTTTTCTCTCTCTTTCCTTTCTTTCCTCTTTCCTCTCTTTCCCAGCCACCTGGAGTGCCAACCTTGCCTGGTCCCAGCAGGTCTACCGAATAAACCTACCCCTTACCTGAATACCACGTGCGTGCTGGTGCAGTTCTTACTCAGCTCTACCTCTCTTTTTAAAAACTTAACAAAAAATAACAATATTAAGATAAGAAGACATTGCCTCTTTGAAGGGCAATTTGCTTTCTACACAAAATGATTATCAAAAATCATCACTTCTTCCTACAGACAGGTTGCAAAAGCACTGCAGCAGAAAGTAGCTCATATAAAGGGTACAGATGCAAAGTTGGAAGATTTATTTTAGTTGATTACTAGGATTGCAAAAGCATCTTTTAAGTTGCCTATTATGTTTCTATCTAACAGCCAGGGCTCTAGAGGCTGAAGCTGTAGACATATTCATGGAGGGGATCTGCTATACATTTTTCTTGAATAAACACCTGTAATGCAGCCTAATACATTTCTGATAAAGTTATCTCCCATGGACTTTGTCATACTGACAGAAAAATCCATAACCTTCACCTGGATTCTGTGACTAGCACTCCTGTAAATCCTTCACAAACAGCTGAGAATTGATGCAGCATGGTCTAGAGCAGAGATATAATCCAGGTTTATCTCTTTCCAGGAATATATTGTCTCTGTTCTGGCCCAGGTTCCCTGCATCTCCTTACCACATTAAGCTGTCTACACTTCACTGAGCCTAGAATGTTCTATGTTCAAGTCATTGTTCTGTGATAACCTTTTCCTTTCTTTATGATCTGGTGTGGCCCCAAGGTGGTGCCTCTTTATCAGCTTGGTTCACAGGCTTTGGGCTTTGCCACTTTGTAAGTATCCGTCTGTCTCCCCTTCCTTGAATGCTGGAGAAGATAGGTTGACAGGGAAGACTAGATAATTTGGTCCAGTGATAGGCCTGAGCTGAACCCCAAATGTAACCTTGAAGCTAAGAGGAGGGTCTCTTAGTGGGTTCTCTCCACCTAAGAGCCATCTCTGCTAGAGAACTCCAAGGAGCAGAAGGGCAAAACGTAAGTGTTGCCAGGTTCCAGGGGCTCATGCTTATAATCCTAGCAATCCAGGAGACTGAAATTTGATGATACATTTTGAAGCCAGCAAATCTGAGACACTTATCTCCAAATAATCAGCAAAAAAGCTGAAAGTGGAGGTATAGCTCAGGTGGTAGAGTTCCAACCTTGAGTGATAAAACTAGCTTTATCAGCTGACAGCATCAGTGCTAGCCTTATTTGACAAATGAAACTAGGGCTCCAAGCAGGAGGCCTGCTTACCAGCTAGAGGCAGACGCCCTCAAATCACTATGTAGTCCAAGCTGTGTCCAGAGGCCCCAGATAGCACACAGGCCTGAGCAAGGCCTCCAGAGCCCAGGAGCTTCCATACTGAGTCTCATGCCCTTACCCAGAGGAACGCTTTAGGCCTCCAGCTATACCTACATTCATTTTACCCAAAGTCAAATATTGTCAACTATCAATTGCCTGGCTCTATGTCAGGTTAGAAACAGCTGATTAGAAACCAAAACTACACCAAGACTCAAAAAAAAAAAAAAAGGTGGGAGGGACAGCAAATGAGGATGATGTCAGGGCCAGGGCAATTGTCACTCAAACCTAATCACTTAAAGGCTCTCCTACACCTGCACTTATCAATGCAAGTCCTAGTTGTGATGTCCATATGATAGCAGAACATGTGGTTTACTTAAGATGTGAACTCAAAGTGATTGGGTTGTTAAAGTTCTGGCACTATAAGAAGAAATGTTTCTGCTATTCAATGAGAGAAATGATCCTTAAGACTCTGGACAACAGAGATTGTGCATTATGAAGAAGGGAAAAGAGCTGGCCATTGTTCATAGGCCACAATGTGTGCCTGTGCTGTGTCACTTCCAACTCTTTTTTTTTTTTTAATTTTTGGTTGGTCACAGGGCTTGAACTCTAGGCCTGGGCACTGTCCCTGAGCTCTAAAGCTCAAGGTGAATGCTCTACCACTTGAGCCACCATGCCACTTCCAGTTTTCTGGTGATTAGAGATAAGAATCTCACGGACTTTCCTGCCGAGGATGGCTTTGAACCATGATCCTCAGATCTCAGCCTTCTGAGTAGCTAGGATTAGAGTCATGAGCCACCAGCGCCCAGCACTTCCAACTCTTTTTTTTTAATTTTTAATTTTTTAATTTTAATTTTTATTTTTTGTGAACATACTGTACAGAGGGGTTACAATTACATGGGCAAGATAATGCATACATTTCTTTTTTTTTTTTTTTTGTCAGTCGTGGGGCTTGAACTCTGGGCCTGGGCGCTGTCCCTCAGCTCTTCAGCTCAAAGCGAGCGCTCTACCACTTGAGCTACAGCGCCACTTCCGGTCTTCTGGTGGTTTAGTGGAGATAGGAGTCTCACGGTCTCTCCTGCCCGGGCTGGCTTTGAACCACAATCCTCAGATCTCACCTCCTGAGTAGCTAGGATTACAGGCGTGAGCCACTAGCACCCGGCTAATGCATACATTTCTTATCAAGCATTGCAGCCTCCTCCTTTGTTTACCCTTCACATCCCTTCCCAGCCTCCCCCCCCCACTTAATCCTCCCCCCCACCAACGTTGTAAAGCTCGTTTTCAACATGACAACTTGTACTTCTCATTGTTGCAACAGGTCCACCTGTATCCGTAAATGACTTGTTTTTCCCCATCTCCTCCACAAATTATACCAACATCAAATATAGTGAAAGCAAGGGTTATACTGTGGGGGAGGGACATACAAAGCAACAAAGAAATAATCTTATAAATGCCACTTCCAACTCTTATACCAGTAATCCCAGCCAATCCGGCAGCTGAGATAGGAGGATTGTGGTTTGAAACCGGCCTAGGCAGGAAAGTCTGTGAGAATCTTATCTCCAATTAATCAGAAGAGCCAGAAGTGAGGTGTGGCTCAAGAGGTAGAGCATCAGCCTTAAGCAAAAAAAAAAAAAAAAAGGGACAGACAGCACTCAAGCCCTGAGTCTAAGCCCCAGTACTGGCACAAAAACAACAATAAAAAAGAAAAGTTGAACTCTTTTTTTTTTTTTTTTTTGGTCCAGTTGTGGGGCCTGAACTCTGGGCCTGAGTGCTGTCCCTCAGCTCTTCAGCTCAAGGCTAGCACTCTACCACTTGAGCCACAGCGCCACTTCCGGCTTTTTTTTTCTTTTTGCTTATATGGTGCTGAGGAATCGAACCCAGGGCCTCAGGCACCCAAGGCAAGCGCTCTACCACTGAGCCAACTTCCCAGCCCCAAAAGTTGAACTCTTTAACCTTGCACTTATCAGGCACCTGATATTTGTGTGACTCATAAATGACTGCCCGGCCTGGGGTTTTCAGCCTCATTTTGGAAACTGGGCAAACAAGGCCTAAAGATGAGAATTGCCTACCCATGACCTTATAGTGTCACAGAGCAGAGAGGGACCCTGAGTGTTCGCTCTGTGTGTTTTACCTGGGGCTCTACTGCTGTTGCCGTAACCTGGGTAGACTTGTCTGTGTTCAGGATGACAGGATGCTAAGTGGCCATGCTTTGACCAGTGCCCTACGCACTAATCTGGAGCCTGCAGCGTGTGCACCAGCGGCAGGAGTGTTGTTTGCAGTTATTTGATGTCTCGTATCGCTTCTGCTTTCCTTGACTGACAGAAATGAATTCAGAGCGTGGACAGACGTCAAGCCTGTGAAACCAATCAAAGCCAAGCCCCAGTACAAGCCCCCAGATGACAAGATGGCTCATGAGACCAGCTACAGTGCCCAGTTCAAAGGAGAGGTCAATAAACCCACTGCAGCTGACAATAAGATCATCGATCGCAGAAGAATACGTAGCCTTTATAGTGAACCTTTCAAGGAACCCCCAAAGGTAAGAGGTGGTTTTTCTGGGGGAGGTCCATAGCACAGCCTACACTGGAGGGTAGGCTGAAGCAGAGAGTGGGAGTGGGGCCACCTGCCCCCCACCCACCACCAGCAGCTCCTGTCAAATAACTCCTTTCCTCTTTAGCATCAACTGTAACCTTTGTTAAATTCAAATGAAACCGTCCAAAGCTATATCATCTAAAATAAAAACAGCTTAAAGGCTGGCAAATTTCCAGAGAACTACTATCTGTGTTTAAGAAATCTAGAGAGGAAAAAAAATGGCAGATCTTACCAAACCCTGAATCCCTTTGTCTTAAAAGAGCTGTTCTTCTGCTCCTAACTGGTTACAGGGTGGCAGGCCCTCTCATCTGGCTTCTCTCCCCTCCAGCCCTGGCTCTGTATCCTTCTCCATCCCAATCTAGCCACCAGACCCTGGTTCCCTTCCTTCCTCAGTCCCTGAACACACCCACTCTTGCTCATTCTTTCCTTGATAAAACACCCACCAGCAAGCAGCGTGCTGACTGTTAAGACACACCGGACCTATCTGCTACAAGATGTGCTGCTAAGCTGGGTGTGATAGCTCATGCTTGTAATCCTATCTACTTGGGAGGCTGAGCTTGGTAGGATCAAGGTTCGAGGCCAACTCAGGCAAAATCTTCTTGAGGCTTCACCTACTGAGGTGAAGCCTCCCTCACTGCGTGTGGCAGTTCATACCTGTTCTCCTAGCTATACAGGAAGTATACCATGGCATCCAACAACCGAAACAAGGCCCCTCTCACATGAATCCTGGACTTCATGAGTGGTTGAAGGTCTACTCCTATTGCCTCTTCAGTACCAGACTGGAAAATGGGGCCCCACCCTCTGTGGCAGAGGGCAGAGAGCATTGCAGAGGTGACCCAGGCCTCTCCCCATTTTATGGACTACAGTAAACTCTGTGCCTGAATTGAATGAGGTAACAAGGTAGAGGGATAACAGGGATAACACTGTCAAGGGTACTCCAGGGGGAGACTGGCAGAGTAGGGAGCCCATGTAGCTGGTGTTACCATAGAGTGACCCGGGAGCACAGATAAGAGGAGCCAAATTTGTCTATGTTGCTCTCCCTCAGCATCAAATGCTGCCTTGAGTGAGATCCTTGCATTAACACTTCTGTCTTTTCTCCCTGTCCCACCCACTCCCTTTGTGTTCCTATATTTGTGCTCTGTCTGTCTGTCTCTCCAAGCAGGTGGAGAAGCCTAGTGTTCAGAGTTCCAAACCAAAAAAGACCTCAGCGAGCCATAAGCCCCCGAGGAAGGCCAAAGACAAACAGGTGGTGTCAGGCCAGGCCGCCAAGAAAAAGAGTGCAGAGGGTGCTGTCGCCGCCAAACCCGATGATAAGGAGCAAAGTAAAGAGATGAGCAATAAACTGGCTGAGGCTAAAGAGTAAATGTCACCGCACTTTCCTTTTATTCCTCCCTCTCCCTCCCCCCTCCCCTCTCTCTCTCTCTCTTTCTTCTTTCCCTCTCAACAACAAAAAAAGGCCACAAAATTAATTAGAGACTTCCCAGCTGCCTTGTGCCTAAGTGTCCTGGGACCTCTTGGCTGGCTTCTTGTGTGGAGAGATCCTATTTCACAGACCCTATTTCTTCTGTGGGTGGCCCTGTGGCCAGCCCAGGGACCCAGGCTCACTGGCTGTGCCCTCGCTGCTGAGCTGGCAGAGGACAGGACTTCCCTGGCCACCAAGCACACCTCCTGCTAGAGCTTGGCTGCGCCTGCTCTCGGCCCTGTCCTCTTGCTCCTCCCGAAGTCTGTGTCACTGCTGGATTTTGAACTTTAGATAAATGTTTGGGTGTTGTTGTTTTTTTTTAATTCCCAGAGTTCCAAAGATGATCTGGGACTATGGAAGCTCAGCTTAAGCTTCAGCAGTTGAACATATTTATGGAAATTCTAAAGACAAAAACAAACAACAATAACCTTGGCCTTAATATCAATGAAATGGACCTGTTTCCAACTTTAAGTCCTCTTCTAGAATCTTCTGTTAGGAGTGTGCCTGTGCTTCATTTCCTGTCGGTAGGCTTTGAACTGTATACTGAGTAATAGGTAGGCTGCTGGTGGTTGAGGCCACACAAGAAGGGACTGAAAGAAGAAGGTGCTGTACATGCCTTAGGAAGGTCCCAAGCATGGGAGTCTGCTTTCCTCCATCTGTGCTTGCACATCATCAATGTGGCCGAGCAACTGGCTAAGGTAACCAGGGAGGAAGGTCAGGTGTAGTGGACTTCTTGTTTCTGAGATGCCTAGGTGAAAAGTGTGACAGTGCTTCCTCCCTAAGTCACTCTTGCTTCTGCTCCATGAGAGACCAGCATGCTCAACTTCTGGTTGGCATTTCTGTGATGGAGGTGTGGGCTCTGAGTGTGCCCTGCTAAGGAATTAGCTAGTATCTCTTGCTGTACTCGTGTGTGTGTGTATGTGTGTGTGTGTGTGTGTGTGTGTGTGTGTGTGTGGCCAAAGTCCACAGGACAAGCAAGTGCCACCTGGGCTGTGCTAGACTTGTAGGAATTAATTAGTCAGGGAATTGTGTGATGACACCTACCCCCCAGGGCTTGTGAGGGAACCCAAAATGTCTACCAGAAATATTTTGTGAGCATGTGGATCACTCGACACCCTGTATTGCCCCTGTCTTGTGCAGCATTCTGAGCTGCAGAAGCCTTTCCTGGAGGCTTCTGAGGTATGGCGCTCATGAGGTATGGAGGGTCCCATACCTCAAACATCCCTTCAAGCCCTTTTGGCTTGGGAGAAGACAGCTCTTTCTCCAAATATCCAATGATCTGTTTACACTATTTTCTTCATCGTCACCTTGGGGCTGATTGAAAGTCTGCAAATTAATTCACTATGTGCATGGAAGGCCCTTGTTTAACAATAGAAAAACTAGAACGAAGCTGGAGAAGGAAGTCTTGGTGCAAATGGTGCTTGTCTGGAGATGCCTAGAGTTGTTCTGCTTGGGGCTACTTGTTAGCCCATTGTAACATTGGCCAGAAAAGTCTATCCAGAGAATCTGCCAATGTATGGTTGCTCCTCCAACTGTCATGTTAGTCACATGGGCTCACACGAACCATGGCTTTGATTTCCCTGATTTGCAGATGCAGTGAATCAGGGTTTATAGTACCCAGGGGAATCACTCTTTCAGCATTCTCATACTGGATGTCTTGTTCCAGGCACAGTGCTAGACTGGACAAGTAGCATAAAGAAATCTTTCTCAACACAGACAGGCAGACGCACATGATATCACCACATGTATATGTGCTCTGACTGAATCCAGTTGGTATGTCCAAAGCTCCAGAGGCTTTCTACCTACCTTTCAGCCCCAGGGCTCTGTTTCCTACCCTGCCCTGCCTGAGACTTTAGGTGATCTGTATAGTGTCTTTTTCAAGCTGTTAATGAACCCCTTCTTTTTCACATACTCGCTGCCATTCACTTTGACTCTTGAATGTGTGTCACTTCACTGGCAAGAAACTTCCTTTGATTTCTACTGTTTACAAATAAAACTCAGCCAGTCTCGTTCTGTTTCCCAAACCTACTGAACGAAATGGATCTTGGTTCCTCAAGCAGTGTTCAGTGTTGCCTTTGTGAAGGTGACCAAGCTTCCTATGCCCGTCCCTCATTCTGTACATTTCCCTGGGGTTCCGTGCACTCTCCTGGCCAGAAGGCTGGGTTGGAGTCTTTCCCATTGTCTGCTTGGCCTGCCTGCAAAAATCCCACCAAAGCTGTGCACTGTTTTCCTCAGCTTTCAGTATACGCTGCCTGGGTTCCCACCCAGCCCCTGTAGCTGTGCCTCACTGAGCAGACAAGAAGTGTCTAATTCTGATTTTGTGGCCTAGGTTTTGTTGCATAACCACAGATGTCTATGTAATGTGTAGCGCACACCTCTCTTGGTGCTATTTCATTCCTGCTGTTAGTAAGAGAATGATAAAAAAAAAATTCATGTATAGCCAATTGATTGTGACGTGCTTGTGGTCTGTGCTTGCTCAGTAAAAACAACCCAACCGTTTTTCCAATATAAATAAATGCTAAAGACGAACACCACTTTCTTGATCTTATTTCCTTGGTGAGGCCCAGCTGAGTAGGTGAAGGAACTAGCCTTTGGCATTTGATCCGTTCTCTACAAGATGAGCTGTGCCCAGCACTGGGCCTGGGCTTCTCCAGAATGCAGCTTGACTCTTTTAGATTGCCTCTCAGATACTGATTGCAAGCAGTCAGAGCTAAGTGTTGGGAAAATCGAAGATGGACCGGGAGATTGACTGACCAACAAGGTAGTGTAATGTTTTAATCTCATGTTGCCAGACTAGTGATGGCCGCCTTGCCATGCTAGGAGGCTGAGCTCATCTCTCCCCTCCCTGTGGCTGGTGGCAGTGTCAATTCTGGCTTTTTCTACATGCGGAGACAGTGAAGATCCTTTAACCTATGATCATGTTGGAAGATTCACCTTCAGGGGCTGGCTGGCTCACTGGGTGGAGTCTGAAGTGTACAGTCGTGAGTGTCTATGGGGGTGCCGAAACAACCATGAGAGGCTCAGACCTGGGTCAAGCAGGCTGGGGAGTTGGGCATCTGATGCAGCACAGGTTTATCCTGGGGCACCTTGGAGGGTGGGTGGCAGGATATAGTAGTCTAGGCAATGGCCTATAGGCAAGCAGGTCCAGAAATGGGGAAATAGGGGGCTGGGGCAGAACCTAAGGCCAGAGCTATTTGATTGTTTTGGTATCCTCCTAGTGAAGTTGGGGGCAGACGTCTGTGCTCTTCGTTTTCTCTACTATGTGTTGATTGGATACCTATTGTGTGCCAGGCCCTGTTCTGGGCACTGGGGAAACCAGGATGACTGAGACAACCCACCTCTGATCTCAGGGGGGCCATAAAGGAGGAGTCCATTCTAGCTGGTTCCATGGATCAGGAAGGACTTCAGCCAATGGGTAGGTGTTGCCCAGGTGAAGAGAACTGAACCCCCACTCCCACCCCAGCATGCCATGCAGAGAGATCTGCCCAAGCAGAGATGTGGAGGGGTAGTTTGCACGTGGGGTCAGGGCAAAAGCCAGAGAGTGGCAGCACTCGATGGTAGAAAGGCCTGGTGTCAGGCGGTTGGGTGGCTGCTGACTGGGGTTTCCATTCCATCGCTCCCATTGCAACATGCCCTGCATGCCCTCCGTGCTTCTCACCTTACCATGCCATGCCTCAGGTCTGCTCCTGTTCTAGGCTCAGAGCCCTAGGGCGAGACTTTTATTCTGTGGCTAGCCCTGGCTCTGAGTTGGGGGGAGGGCCTGTGGAGGGGGAGGCAAGACTCAACGAAGAGTAATATTTTTTAACTATATATTTGTTTTCCAGATGAATAGGAAATGTTCCATCCACCTGTCTATTTTTATATGAGGCAGAAATCTAAAACTGTTCAATAAGTAAAGCAAATGTATTAAACCCTGTTCGCTCAGTTTTGACCAGTTAAGGGAGATACAAAGCAGGGATCGAGAGATGGTGAAAAAGACAGGAGAAAAACAGACAGGTAGAAACATAAGCAGGCAGGAAGGAGAAAAGTATATGAAGACACTGAAAATAATCTAAGAAAATGAGAAAAAATAAGATAACTCAAAAGGATAGGGGTGAAAAATAGGCACCAGAGCTGGGACCAGGTGGTTTATACTACTCTGGAAGTGGAGATCTAGAGAATCACAGTTCAAACCCAGCTGTGAAGCAGCAAAGTACTTGAGATTCCATCCCCAAAATAACAAGCAAAAGGCTTGACTGGAGGCATGGCTCAAGTGGTAGAGCACCCACTAAGAAAGCAAGTATGAAGCCCTGAGGATGGGGATGAGAGTGAGAACAGAAAGAGAAAGGAAGCTGGGTGCCAGTGGCTCATGCCTGTAACCCTAGCTACTCAGGAGGCTGGGATCTGAGGATCACAGTTCAAAGCCAGCCCCGGCAGGAAAGTCTGTGAAACGTTTATCTCCGATGAACCACCAGAAAACCAGAAGTGGCGCTGTGGCTCAAGTGGTAGAGCACTTGCCATGAGCTAAAGACCTCAGGGACAGCACCCAAGCCCAGAGTTCAAGACCCACAACCGACCAAAAACAAAAAACAAAAAAAGAAAGAAGGAAAGGAAGGAAGGAAGGAAGATAGGTCTGTGAGATAGGACTTAAGCACTGCTTCTCATAGATCTAGGCAGTTCAGAGTCCTACCTCTCCCAGCCTTCGTTTCCTCTGGAGATGGGGATAGTAAACTCAGAGAAGCAGAGTGGATGCCCTGGCATGACAGTGCAAGGGACCCTATGGCAGACACCAGAAATGTTGCTTTAGGCCCTGCCCTTTCTAGTGCCTGAAAGCTGTGTGTTCATTTTCTTGCTTATAGATATGCAGTTAACAACAAGCTTGTTACACATAAGGGTTGATTGAGGCAAATGCTCTAAA